GTATGCTGAATCTGAATATGACATTTTTTTTATTTGCATCAACCGTTTGATCATAAAATCAAAAACTCAATTAAACTTATAATTAATTTTAATAATATTGCATGAGATAAAAATTTATTCAATATATAACATTTACTAGTTCAAAAATATTATGGTATGTTACAAAACGTCATGTTTCATCACGTTACATGCATATATTACATAATTTTACATTTTGTTCTAATGTAATAGTCTCTCAAAATCTCAAACAACACTAGAAGTGAACAGTAGAAGGTGGTTTTCTTTTATGAAGTTTGTTGTCATCGCGTATCAAACGCTAGATGTAGTCACTCATCATACCTGCATCCCGTCTACCCTGGTATCTTTTTTTCATTGCATGGATATCCTGATGAAAACGTTCTCCATGTTCTTCACTCACACCACTTAAATTTTGTCTGAAAAATTCCAAGTACGAATGCAGTTAATGCAGCTTTATAGACATTCTGCATTTCATATCTGCATACTAATTTATCCAAGTATGCCCTCTATTTCATAGAGGGCATACTTGGATAAATTAGAGTCAGCCTATCCTTTAACTTTTTATACTTTGAAATGTCAACCATGCAGAAATAACAGTCATCATGATGGTTCGTCAGTTCTCTCAATATTCTCGAAATCGCAAAAGTAATTGACTTGAGGATTCCACGCAGCCATCTTTCCAGAATTGATCTGCAACTGCCATAACTGTGGTGTGGTGCCCACAATTGTCCTGATCTCCCATAGCCATGCCAAAATCAGCATGATATGCAGTAAAGAGTTTTGTACCACTAACAATCTTATGTTTAGTTTGTATTGGATTAATATGGTAAACACAAACATAACAGAGTAAGTCAGAACAAAGCTTGCATGATATACTAGACATTAGTTAAACTAAAAAATAAACAAAATAATATAGTTAACTCATTCTCTCAGTACCATTTGTTAAAAAAGTTGTACCCAAAATGTGCTAAAATTTCTTAAAAAAATACTTTAAATCAACATAAACAAACATATACAATAACAGAGGAAGTGGCAATTGAATACGTATAAAACAAGAATTAGAAAAAGTAATATTAAAAATGGGATTATAGTAAAAAGACGCTAAATATACAGAGGCACTGACAGTGGCTCGCCGGAGAGAAAAATCCACGAGCCACAGTCAGTGACTCAGCGGAGAGAATGAGTTAAAATCAGCATAATATATATATATATATATATATATATATATATATATATATATATATATATATATATATATATATATATATATATATATATATATAATGTTGTAAATGCATTACATATAAACGAAAACTCCGAAATATACTTTATACTTTTAGCTCAAAAAATCTTGATGATAGAGCAAAACCGATAGTACCGCTGAAATCAGCATACCAAAATTATGTAAGAAACATTAAAAAATTAACATAAACAAAAATGTACATTGTGTTATTTTATTAGTAAATATGTGCATATTATTGCTTTTTGATTTTAAATGAAATTACATTTTTTCTGTTTTTTCTTTTCAAATTTAAAAACTTGTTCAAATTTAATTTTACAAAAAATATTTTCTTTTTATCAATGTTAAGTTTAACGCATTGGTTCATCAACTTTTTAGTTGTTGATTTAAATTTTGAGTAGTAAATAAAGTCAACTTGCAAATTGAAAAGGTCTTCTATATAACCGTATGACAGCTAGTTAGAGTGCGAAACCTCCTGAGTTAATAAGCCATAATTCAAATAAATTTTTTTTTAAAAAAACACACGTTGACATCTTTAAAAGAATACTAGAAATTTTTTTTCCTTTTTACCAAACTATTTCATGTAAATTATTTTGGACTTGTTGTTTAGTGCGTGGGCACTTGTTATTTATATTTAATCTGCTTCGTAAATCCTATTGTAGACCTACAGTAATCTCATTTAAAAGATTACTTTTTATTAAAAAAGCATTTAAAAATTTTGTTTTGTGATAAATCGTAAAAAGCAGTTAAAACTTATACAAATTTCTCGTCATAAGAGTTGAGATTAAAGTTAAAAGATGATATTAGAAAATCAGTATGAGAGAATAAAAAATGATTTTCATACTGAATTAGTCAGTGAGCGTTATCACAATATGATCAACTGGCTGAGCAATGCAATTTAGTTTGCTTAACGATAGCCGTCATGTTTTTTATTGTAGGACCAACAAATGTCCACTTTAGTGTACCTAGTTTTGTGTAAGCTTTATTGGTTATCGTTGTGATGTGGTCTTTCCATTTCAGATTATTACTTACGCTGATACCTAGGTCTCGTTCCTGTGTTGTTTCATTTAGTTTAATGATTTTTCCATGGTGAGTTGCATATATAATTATATATATATATATATATATATATATATATATATATATATATATATATATATATATATATATATATATATATATACATGTTGTATGCATTATATTATAATGTATATATGGTGCATTCATATATATATATATATATTATATATGTATATATATATATATATATATATATATATATATATATATATATATATATATATATATATATATATATATATATATATACTTAACTTGAGATTTTTCGCATTATTTAGTTTAACTCGACCTCTTTCCAACCATATAAAGAAAGTATTATGCTTTATATGGCTTCACTTATATTTTTTTTACTTTTCAGAGTTTCAGAGAAATGTTATGTTCCAACTTGCTGGCTTAAAGAGTTGACAAGCCTATGTAACGCTATCACTGGTATTCTCATTAGCTTATTATTGTGTTTGATTAACTTTTAAAATTAAAAACGTTTTAATAAAAAAAGTTTTTTAATTATTTTGGCCTTGGAACCTGACATGTATTTAAGTATATTTTATTTTAAGATCTTATTGAACTATGTGTTGTTATTTTTATTAGATGCTGCTTTAAAGTCAAATAAAAACTTAACCAAAATGGATGCCATGCAACTTATTTAGAGAGTAAATTAAGCATTCTTCTGACCGATTAAAGAGAACATCCACTCTCCCTTGCCTAGATTAAATCAAATCTAACGTGTGTATTATATATCATTGCATTTTTATATAACTTTTAAAAGAATGTCTAGTTAAAATTAGAACATCTCTAAGACGTCTGAATAAGACGCCTTTAAGTCTTTTACATGAGACCAGCCAGAGACGTCCGTAGGATGGCTGAAAAGACGCATCTAGGACGTTTGCTAAAAACGTCTTTAGGACGTTTGGAATAGACGTCCTCAAGTTTTTTATTTGAGACCAACTAAGGACGTCTTATGGACGAGAAATGAGACGTCTTATGGACGTCCTTAGGACATCAGTTTGCCGGCTAGGCAGTTTAACGGGAACTAAAAAATTTAACGTTGACGGTTTGAAAGAAATTAAAAAAATAAAATTTTTTAATAATTATGTGAAATTTATGTTTAGTAATATCAGATTATTTTCTGGTATAAGAAAGTTTCATATATTAAATATTTTAGTCTCTAGAATGAATTTGTTTATTAGAGTTAGTTTTTCACTTGTATGAATTTTATAAATATTCTTAATATCAAAATGTATGACAATTAACACAAGTAAGTTGTAACTTTTTAACAACAAGTAAGTTGTAAATTTTTAACAACAGTTAAGCATTTAATTAGATAATCTAAAAGATTTGAAATTTAAAAGTAATACAATTATAAAAACTGATATAAAATCTATACTATTGCAACACACTTTCCACTGCGCAACTCATTTATATCCGTTAAAGGAATACTACTGTTTACAAAAGGTATACTAAAGTTTTGCAAAAACGTTTTTTTGTAGGAACATATATATATATATATATATATATATATATATATATATATATATATATATATATATATATATATATATATATATATATATATATATATATATATATATATATATAGATAGATAGATAGAAAGATAAGATAGATAGATAGATAGATAGATAGATAGATAGTTAGATAGATAGATAGATGATATATAATCTCACAAATATTTACTTTGTTGAATTATCAACGAAACTCTACGTTAAAAAAAAAGTTTCATAAAAAAAAAAAGTAAAAAAAAAATATTCATAAATAATAACATTGGTATAGTATTACCAATTTGGTATATATACTATTATAACATTAAAACTCCGATAAAAAAATAACGTTAGAGTAACCAACGTTAAAACAACGTCGTAATTCTGATAAATATATAAACGTTAGTGTAATCAACATTATTACAACGTTAGATTTAGTTAAGCAATGTTGCCTGACATAACCCAACATAAATCCAACGTTGTATCGAAGTCATATGCCCACTGGCATACTAATAAAATACCTAAAAAAATATAAATACCTATATCAAAACAAATACTTAAAAACATAAAATTGCTGAATTGTTGAATTATATTTAAAAATTTATTTATTTTTAATAATTAATCATCAAGATTAAAAGACTTTATATAAAAACTAATATGAAATAGTTAGAGAAAGCTTTCTTCACTCCGGTTTTCTTGCGTAAAAACTAAATTAACTTTCTCAATTAAGTTTTCTAATATTCTATAATTTTCTATGATTATTAAATATTATTTTAACTCTTAGCTTTACACGCATGAATGAACATTATGAATAGAATTTTGATTTTTCACTCAATATGAGTCATGGTAAAATTGACTAATTAACAAACACGTCATTACACAAGCTTGTATCTGTAATCTTCAGGTATTTGAAATCTTTAACATTTGTCGAAGTATGAATGGCGTAAGGCGTGTGGTGAAAAAAACATGAATACTTTTAATGTTTATTTAGTTTAGTCTCTACTACTCAAAATACTGCTATTATTGAAAGCTGGTTTTTATTGATTAAGTAAGTTTAAATTTAAAAGTAAAGTGCGCTCAACCAACGTTATTTTAAAAACGTGTGCTTTGTTGTAAATTGTTCTTTACTAACGTCAGTTAGAAAATATAATATAAAATTTCTTACCATTTCTTTTCAAAAAGCAAGATTTTTTCTAATATTCCATTATAGTAATATTTGGCACGTTACCTTTTGATACGAGTGGATTATAATATTTACATTATTCTATGGATTAACTTAATATTTTACAATAAGTTATTGTAAGCTTTATTTAAACTTAATACACCATTTTAAAATATAACAAAACTTTTTAGAATATACAACTTTATATAACAAAATATTAAAAAGATGTTGAAATCATTCCGGATTTTGCAAAGATATTAATGTTTTGTTATTTTGCTTACTTAAGTCTGCTTTGTTAAACAGACTTAAGTAACAAATTGTTCAGTCATCATTTGATCATATTTTTTACGTTCCCTTCAAAATTACTTTATCAACCTAAGTAGTAAACCAGTCTTCAACGAATTATATTATTTGTAATATAATAAAGAATAGATCATAATGTGATTTTTTTTGTTTTTGAATTATTTGTTAAAATTACGCAGTAGCATCAAAAATGCGGACTGAAGTTTTTATAGTTGGAAAATGTGTTGTAATAGTTAAGCAATTTGTAATACAACAATTGTCACCTCATAAAGAAATTAAATCAAAAATTTTTATTATATAGTTTTAGCACTGGGCTTACTGCATAAGCAGTTACTCAGAAGCGATTTTTTTCGATTATGCGAAAAAAATGTGATAAAAAATCGGAATGAATCGCACGAGATTTTTTAATAACAATCGACTCAATAAATCTTTAGCAGGTTAATCAAAATCGCAAAAAACCACATTGCAATTACCAAACTAAATATTGCAGTCGTAACTATTCACCCTTGATTCTTTACCTGAAAATCACTACCAAAATTTATGCAATCATCGCGTTGCGATAAATAGTGTTCAGTTAGTTAAAAAAATTTCAATTAAAAAGTTTCAGAATGATTTTTGTTTTTATTAAATAAATAAAAACTTACAACAATTGAGTGGGTCAGAAGCCGAGGGGTACAAGTGACATTTTCATAGTTTTGAGATACAGCTGTTTAAAGTTAAAGTTTTTTTGTTAAATATACTCAGCTGTTGTTATGTTTTTCCAGTAGAAAGCAGCACAGGGCAGAGATTCACTTGTATCCCTTGGCCACCAACAATTTTGTTTGCTTCTATCAAATTCTATACTTAACTTAATTTTGGTAAAATTGTCACTTGTACCCCTTGGCTTCTGACCCACTCAATTATAACTTTTTTTTATTAATTTACTTCTAAGTTTGGTTTTTTTTTACAACATGCATATTTTTTTATAAAAAACATTTTTTTGTTGGCTTTGAAAAGCTTTAATTAATAGACTCGGGTCCTTTTCAAATTAACAGATTTATGGCAGCAGATTTTCATAATAAACAAAAAAAAAAGTTTTTAATTTTTTAAAATTGGTTTTAATGATGAACTTAACAGAGATTAGTGAAAACAGTTTGTTGTAAACTAATTCAGTTTTTTAAATAATTATATTTTAGTACTTCGGTTTTTCAGACTTTCTTAGCAACCACCATAGCAACCAGACTTTCTTAGCAACCACCATAGCAACAAATTTGTTTAATGGTTTTTTAACTTTACAGTGTGATTTTGGAGAAAATTTCAGCCTTAAAATCATCCTGTTCGCCTAATATTTCATCACTGCTCAAAAAAAAATCTTAGAATAAGAATCACAGCTTGAAGTTAACTAATAATGTCAAGGCTTTTGATTATATTTGTATGCTCGCTTAAAAACTATTTTAATTAAAAATTTGATTGCATTTTTTATATAAATAACGACTCGTTGTTCGATTAAAAAAGGTAAAGATAAGTTTAAAGACTACGTTGAAAATTGCATGCAACGAAAGGAAATAAAATTATAGCTTATTCGCATGCTTTCTAGTACAAAGTAGTTTGTTTTTTTTTGATAATGAATATATGACAAAAAAGAATGACCACAGTAGGTTTAAGCAAAAAAAAATTTTAAGTTTTTCATAACTTTTCCCAATTAAAGTTGGTAAAAGTTATGAAAAAAAGGTTCTTTGATAAAAAAAAAAAAAAAAAAAAAAAACGAAGAAGAGTATTTTGATGCCCCCGTATTTTGATGGCGGTTTTTAGAATGATAATAATTTTATGATTTTTTGTATGACGCAATATTTATAAACATTTTTCCGGCGTTTTATTTTTTAATACTTTGCATCACATAAAACTGGTTTTCTCAACTTCTAATAAAGATTTTGATTTGAAATTTTTAGAAAAATATAAAATAAATAAAAGTGTAATCTTTCTTTTTAGTATATATTTTTTAGGAAATTCGTTTTACTATTTTTTAAATAAAATTTGTTATCTTTAAAAATAATTATCCGTTTTGCACAAACGTGATAAAAATCCTAGTTAATAGTAGGGGAACTTATTGTACCTTTAACCACGTTTGACCACGTTGTACTTTGGTCACTCTACCCTGTCAGCCTACTATTATTATTTTGAAAAAACGTGAAATGCCATTTGAAATAATAGTCCATGACAACTCTTTTTACCGTGAAAGATCATACTTGGAATGAATCGTATTGACCCACGAGTATTTATAATTTTTGGCTGTTAAAAAGCAAATATTTGTGTTAATCTTATTTTGATTTTAAATAATAATAAATCATAAATTGTTGTCTAAATAACGAACAACATTATAAACATTACCCAACATTTTTTTTTGTTATGGAAAGGTTTGGATGATTATTTCTTACCGTAAATAAAGATAAAGACGATGATTGTTAAAGAAACCTATTTCGCGGACCAGACTAGGACGTTGTATCTTTGACCGGAAAAAATTATTTCCTGGGTTATTTGCAAGCTTTAATTTATGAAAATTTTGATCGAGTTTATCAGGCGGGTGTGCTTTATGCTCGTTAAGCAGAAGATAGTATGGCTTAAAATGAGGTTTTTTAGCTTTCAAAAAACGCAGACCGGACATTATATTAATGTGTGAGAGAGTTTCTACATCGAATAATTTACGTAAATTGTGCAAGGGGAAGCTGCTATATCGACTAAGGTTTTGAGTTTGGGAAGGTATATACCAATCAATGTAGCAGCGCTCTTAAACTTTCACAAAAACAGTATGATATCTGGTCTGCTTTTTTTTAAAAACTTAAAACCTCATTTTGAGCCACACTATCATCTGCTTACGGTAAAATTTAACAATCTTAAAAAATGATAAAACAAAAAAACATTTTCTAGTTTTTTTAATTGTTTTCTTTCCTTATTACCTTATTACTCATGCATGCAATACTGCTGCTCGTATTATGGAAATGAAATTATTCGATTGAATTGTGATGCAGTTTACTATTCTATACTATTACTATTCTCAGACCACTACTACTAATTAATTTAATAATTAATAATAATTAATTTTGTTAATTAAGTTAGTTAGACAGCTGTATCAATATTATAATCAACTTCATTTTATTACTTAATTTTTGCACAGGGAATTAAAAGCATAAAAATAGTTAATTAATTATGTTAATACATTTTAGTTTTAAAATGCCAAGGAACAAGGTTGGTGTTTTTCGCAAGAAGATTTCTGAAACGGATACGCTTAACGCAGTGAATCCAAAAACCAAAAAAATATTCTTAATAGAAAAGAATTAATTTTGATAAACCACTTGACAAATGTTGCAATTATGCATTACGTATAATTTCATGGATGAAATTTCATGGATAAAAAATAAATGTGCTGTTGAGGCTGCAAGATTTTCCTAAAAGATATAATAATAAGTTTTTTTTATGCAAGCTATAGTTTGTAATATTTAGCATTTTATTAAATTACAATTTTAAACTTATTATTAAATTAAACTTAAGAATTCTAAATATATATAAAAGAAAAAATATTATTACCATTTAAATTTAAATTATTTAAATACAAAAGCATCAAAATTATCTTTTTTATACTTTTTAAGCCTTATAAGATGATGATGTTCTAAAAGATTATTATAATTTATTATATACAATTTTTTTTTAATAGGGAAACCGTAAAAATTGTATATAATAAATTATAATAATTTTTTTAGAACGTCATCATTTTGAACTATCAAGCATTAAGAACTATGATGAAACAGGAGTTACTACAGCCCACGTACCTCAAAAAATTTCTAGCTCCAAATAGCAAAACACAAATAGGGAGCTAACTGAAAATATTTTTGCTGATATTAATTTTTTAGCTGCAAATATTACTTATAGGCCAATAGTGAATACTGAAACTTGCATTTCTAATGATAGTATTTATTATATATACTTTTATTTTGCTGATTAAACATTTAAAATAACAATTTTCATATAAGGGATCGTCCATAAACTACGTCACGCTATAAGGGGAGGGGGGTTAGTAATTTTGTGACTCATACAAAACTTGCTTCTTAAGTGTTACGATTTTGTGACGAGAGGGAAGGGGGAGGTCAAAATCTGTCAAAAAATGCGTGACGTAATTTATGGACGATCCCTAATCATGTAAAAAAATACATAAAATACACGTCGTAAAGAAAACATGATAAAAAACGTTTTTTCATAATTTTTTTTTTATATTATGTATATTCTGTTCTAATCAGTCAGGGACTCAAAGAAGGTAAGGATGATGTGTTTAACATCACAACCTTTTCATAGAGCCCCTATAGTCACTCATTATAAAGACAATTTAATTTTTAAAAATAAAATAAAAATTCAATAAAAACAAAGCTCATATTTTTTAGTGTAACAAATTCAAAAACAAAAAATATTAAATACAAGAAAAATAAGAAGACGGAAAAAAAAAGAAAAATAACAACAAATACTGTAAATTAAAAAAATATATAAGTCAGGAATTAAGAAGATGCATTTTAGTTTCCCGTATAAACGATGAAATGGTTTTTAGGTTTTTATTTTGGAAATGATTCCATGTTGATGGGCCACGGTTTGTAATTAAAAAATTTGACTGATGTGAATTAATTTTCCCTAAGTGATAGTTGTAGCTGGTATTTGAACGCAAATTATATTTTTCAGAAAACGATATCAAGAAAGTATTTGAAAAAACACTTGGAAGGAGGTTGTTCTTATACTTATACATAAAAATTAATATCTGTAATGTGTTAAGTTTCTCAATATCTAGAACCACCATGCTTTTCATCACTAGGGCCGGGTTTACTAACCTATTTAAATAGTTTATTACTTTGCATGCATGGTTTTGCAGGCTTTGCAATTTTAGCAGTTTTTTTTTATGGGTGCTGGCCCATACAATATTTGCGTACAAAAGTTGCCTATGTACAAGACTAAAGTAAAGCATATTACGCGATTTACTATCGAGAAAAGGTCTCGACTTATACAAAACGCCTATTACAGAGGACATTTTTGTTTCAAGGAGACCAATATGGTTTTTCCATGACAAATTTTCATCAAAAAGCACTCCCAAAAATTTTGTACATTTTTTCACGTTTGAGTTTGACCAACGGACCAGACCATTTATTAATTGGATGTATTTACAGACCGCCAAGTAGTCCAGAAAACGTAAACACTAAAATCAATTCAGTGCTTGGAATAGCCAAAAGTCTAGTAGACCAAAAAAAATATACCGGATTAATTATAACTGGTGATTTTAATTATCCACACATAAAATGGTACAAAGATGGTGGAACAAAACTGAAACAAAACTGTGATATTAGTATAAAATTTATTGATAATTTAAATGAAAATTTTATTGAACAATGTATTTTCGGATCAACATTTCAAATATCCGACGAAGAACCTACAAACACACTTGATTTACTAATGACAGATAACTGCAAAAGGATTAGAGACGTAGAAATAGGCGCACCACTTGGACCAATTGAAAAAGCACATTATGTAATTCAATTCAAATATGACATGCAAGGTGCTGACACAATCCCTATACAATTCAATAGTAAAGATATAAATTACCAAAAAGGAGACTATGAAAAAATAAATCTTGGTTTTAATTTAATAAATTGGTATGAATTATTCAAGGATTTAAACGTGGACCATTGCTACAGTGCTTTCGTACAAAAATATAATGAGTTGATTGAATTGAATATTCCAAAGAAAAGAGCCAGGTTTGATCAAAAAGTTAAAAAAGACCCATGCATAACAATTGAAGTTAAAGCTTTAATACGTAAAAAGAAAAATTTATGGAACCAATTAAGAGCTGGCAAATTTAAATATCTTAATAAATTAAATGAGTACAAAGCAGTAAAAAAATTAGTCAAAAGCAAATTAAAAGAATCCACTATTGATTATGAGAAAAATCTTATAAATAATGCAAAAAAAAATCCGAGACTGTTCTACAAATACGCGAAAAAGAACCAAAAAAACACCGGTAAAATACAATCAATGAAAAACTATGCAAATGTACTCACATCTGACAGGCATGAGATTGTTAATATATTGAACAAAAGTTTCATGCTCTTTAACAAAAGGTTTTTGTTAAAGAGCATGGTGAAATTCCGGAGTTTGTACCACGTATTACAAAACCTTTTGAATGGGATTGGAAAAATGTTGTTACAAATGAGGCAGTTCAGCAAAAACTGTATTCTTTGGACGTCTATAAAGCATGCGGTAGTGATGGTATTAGTCCTTACGTACTTAAAAATTGTTTAAGTAGTGCAGCAACTCCATTAGCTTTAATTTACCGAAAATCAATTGAAACAGGAAAAATTCCTTGCAAATGGAAAGAAGCAAATATTACTCCAATATTCAAGAATGGAAATACAACAGACCCGCTTAACTACAGACCCGTATCATTAACATCTGTACCAGGCAAAGTTATGGAAGCATTCATAAAAGAAGCAATAATGACTCATCTGATGGAAAATAAATTGCTATCAAAAAATCAACATGGCTTCGTAAAAAATAAAGCCTGTGTAACAAATTTGCTAGAAACATTAGACATTTTAACAGCAAGCATGAGTGACAGTTTAGCGGTAGATATGATTTATATGGATTTTGCCAAAGCCTTTGATAAGGTTCCACATAAAAGACTGTTGAAAAAGTGTGAAGCATATGGTATCAAGGGTGTAATAAATGACTGGATATCGTCTTTTTTAAAAGAAAGAAGGCAAAGAGTTGTGATGGGTGTAGACGTGTCTCCATGGCTTGAGATTTTTAGTGGTGTGTCTCAAGGCTCTGTGCTTGGTCCTTTGTTATTCTTGATATTCGTAAATGATCTACCATCAGTTATTAATTCCAATTGCAAATTATATGCAGATGACAGTAAACTTATCAAAGTTATAAAAAATGTTGAAGATCATGAGTCTTTGCAGAATGACATTAACGAATTTGTAAAATGGACGGATATCTGGTTGACATAGTTGAACATCGAAAAGTGCAAGGTGATGCATTTAGGTAAAAAAAATCCACGTATGAGTTATTGTATGAACCACGACGGCAAAGAGTATAAATTAAAAACAACAGTAAGTGAAAGAGATTTAGGAGTGATTATTTCATCCGACCTTAAATGGCATGATCAAGTGACTTCAGCGACAGCAAAAGCACAAAGAACTTTGGGTCTAATTAAACGTACGTTTACATACTTCGATGTGGAAATGGTGAAATCACTATATACAACATTTGTGAGACCGCTTCTTGAGTTCGCTATACCTGCATGGCAGCCTTATTTACAACGGGATATTGATGAGTTAGAGAAAGTGCAAAGAAGAGCAACGAAGTTAGTTCCACAACTTAAAAAGATTTCATATGAAAAAAGACTGAAAGCAATGGGTTTAACAACATTAGAGAAAAGACGAGCTAGAGGAGATCTTATACAACAATACAGATTCAAGCAAAATATAGACCAAATAAATTGGTACAAAAATCCAAAACCGGCATCATCCGTGACTAGTTCAGGCCCGGCTTTTTCTGTAAGGGGCAATAAATACAGGCTAGAAAGAGAATACGTACCATCATGTTTACCGAGATATAATTTTTTTACCAATCGAGTTTGTAAAAATTGGAATTTGTAACCAAATGAAATCATTGAAGCAACATCGTTGAATGTTTTCAAAGCGCGAATAGATAAACATTTTTCATAACTTGTGTTTTTTTAATTTGTGTGGGCTGTCTATAACCCGATGCTTGCATCGCGTTCCACAATTTATTTTATTTTCAAATATTTATATTTAAACAAATATGTAATTGTTACAGCAATAAATATTACTATTACTATTACTATTTCATTTTTATTAATAAGCAGTTTAGGAAGCTTTAAAGGGAGATTAATTGATTGTTTTTTTTTATGAAAAAGGGTAAAACTAGTTTTTTGACAATTTAGGGATAATTTATTTGCTATGAACCAGAGGTTGAATTTTTCAAGTTCAATATTTATAGTTTCAAACAAAGTCTTTGCATTAGGATGATTAAAAAATAAATTTGTATCGTCAGCATACATAATTGTAAATATTTTTTGGGATGCTTTATGCATATTGTTAATATAAATTAAGAACAATAATGGACCTAGGATTGAACCCTGAGGAACTCCACACGTAATATCGAGGGCTCCTAACTTTTCTAGTAATACAAATTGCTTTCTGTTAGACAAATAGCTTTGAATCCACTTAAATATTGAGCCTATTATACCGTAGTATTTTAGCTTGGAAAGTAAAATACTGTGATCAACCGTATCAAACGCCTTAGAAAGATCAACAAAAACTCCAAATACCAGCTCATCACTATCAAACGATGTCTCTTCTTCGTTTTTTTTTTTTTTTGTCAAAGAACCTTGTTTTCATAACTTTTACCAACTTTAATTGGTAAAAGTTATAAAAAACTTAAAATTTTTTTTTGCTTATTTAATGTAAAGTAATTGTTTGCTCTGTTATATATTATTCTCTCAAATACTTTTTAACGTACTGGAAGAAGAGAAATAGGTCGGTAGTTTGAAACATTATTGCAATCACCTTTTTTGAGAATTGGATTAATTTTGACTAATTTAAGTTATTTAGGGAATATACTATTTTCAATATTAAATAAAATAATGGTTTACTAATGCTGTCGATTATATAAATTGCTACATTACTGGAAATACCATTATACCCACATGACTTGTTGCGTTTAAGTTCGATAATTGCTTTATTAAATTCAATTTTAGTTATCTTTTTATTATTTATACTAGTGGTGGGTTTTTCTCCCGAAAAATTGTCAAATGTTTTATTTGATTGCACAATGTTAGAAGCAAAAGAGGGGCCTACATTAACAAAATATTTGTTAAATTCTTGGCATATTTTTGTTGTACTTGTTATAATTTTTTTATCGGAAATTAGTTTTTGTGGTAAGCAAGTGTGCTTCTTTTTCTCTCTTCCTGTTAGTTCGTTTATAACAGCCCAAGTCCTTTTTATGTCGAATTTATGCTTGTCAAGCTTATTAGAAAAATACCTTATTTTTTCTTCTTTCATACTATGCTGAAAAAACTTTTTATAATTTTTGTATATTTTTTCATCTACTTTATTTTTTGATTTCAAAAATTTTACGTAAAGTTTTTGTTTTCTTTTTGATGCTTTGATTAAAGTTATTGTCATCCATGGATTCTTATATTCTTTGTTTTTTATTTCTGTAGTTATTTTCGGGCATACATTATCAAAGATATTTTGCAATGTGTTTGAGAAATGGTCAAACGCAATGTTAGGATCTGTTGATGACTATACTTTATCCTATTGTTCTACTTGTAGTTTGTTTTTAACATCAAGTATTGATGTTAAAACTTAAAAAAATTAGTAAATACTAATAAGTAATACTGACTGAGTGTTGTAACTTCGATACACAAGTCTTTGCAAGATTGTAAGGATTTTTCTAAATTTTTTTAGATTAGGATTAGGGTTAGGCTTAGGGATTAGGATTTTTTAAGGGATTAGGATTAGTATTAGGCTTACAAAATAGTAAAATAATAGTTAAGTAGATATATTTTTTTATTGACGTGAGTTAGGCCAGAAGTATCTTTATAATATATAACAAACTAAAATATTAAAAAGGTCCAAAGGTTGTATGATTTTTTAATAATGACATTTTGGTCATAAGAACAACACGCATCGGTCAAAGGTACAACATACGTGTTTTACCTTTGACCAATTTGACGGGAAAAAAATACTTCTTGGGATCAAATGAGAAAAAAGTCTTACGTATAATTTATGCGCAAAATATGAGAGAATATCGCAAAGTTTAAATTATTTAAGTTTATGCAATAGACTACGCAAAAAGTAACATAAAGCAAAAATTGGTCAAAAGTACAACAGGTTCCCCTACTCATACTATACTCAGAAAATTTGGAGTTACTGGCATTTGTGAAACTTTTATAAACATGTTTGAAAATTTCTCAAAATAGCTGCTTAAATGTGTAATTAGTCCTTTTTTTTAAAGTTTTATATTAATAGAAATAATAAGCTTTATATTAAAAGAAGTTTAATTAATTTAGAATAAAATTTAATTGCAATTGATGTTCCTTAAAAAAAACTTTAGCAACTTTATTTCAGATGGATCTGCTACCATAATTGTTACAAAAAGTGGCTAGTTTCTATTACCGCAACAATTTTTTTCAAATTAAGTTATGAAAGAAACATTTTCTCAATAAAAATTTATATGTTGTGAAACTGTTTTATGCTATTTCTGCAACTAATGAAAACTAGCTTAAAGTGTGTAAGTTCTCCTTTACTCTATTAAAAATAGATGTTTTAATTTTTAAGGTAGACCTGAACTTTTCGGTCTCTTTAAGATTTAATATTCAGTGTTGAACTTAGTGGCGGTTCTACAGTACTGCAGATTAGGCGGCCGCCTAAGGAGAAATGTTATATTATAAATAAGGTGTATCTTACTTTACATTTTTTTAAAGTCAAAATTTCATTAGGATTTTTTTCAGGGTTTCGGATTTGAAACCGCAAAAATAAGCGAGAGTGTTAAATATAATGATTGGCGAAAAGGCTTTTTCATTATCAATGCATTAGGCGAAAAAAATTTTGCCTAATCTAAGGCAATCTGGAAAATCGGAAATTTAGCCCAATTTAGTAAAAATTTGGCCGGTTGGTTTTTATTCCTAAGGCCGCACAGCGGTTCAAGATCCTTAAAAAGTGGCAAAAAAGGAAAAAAATTAAAATCTTTAGTTTGTAAACACAAATAACTTTTAATTATGGTAAGACCAGATGCATAACAATTTAAAACTTTTTTTGAAGCTATTGCAAGGTTGTGTATTAATTTGAAGCACTTTACTAATGCTTTTTTTATGACGGAAAAACGGAAATGTTCGATAAAATAGTCAGTTTTAGATATTTATTTTATGGAGACATAGTAGTTAAAGTGTTAGTGTTTTTTATTAATTTACTTAAATTGTGTCAATTCACAATGTAAATGAAAGATTTTTTTTTAAGTTTATTAGGTTTAAGCCATAACTCAAGAAAAATATTAGTAAAAAATTTTTTTTTTATTAGTAACACATTATTTATGGTACAAGAACAAAAATGTTCTACATAACTCCACGCTTATGTTAGTGTTTTTGAGTACTGTCAGCAATATACTATTTAATGGAATAAAATTTACCTGCTCCAATTTGCTCCAATCTAAAATAGAGCTTTTATGATTTACTTGCTAAATATTATAATCAGCGAGTATATGATAAAAGGTTGGAGCAAATTGAAGAAAGTAAATTTTATTTAATTATTTTAAATATAAGCTCTTTTAATAAAGAGTATCAGCGTTACCTAATATTTTTAGTTTGTATATATATATATATATATATATATATATATATATATATATATATATATATATATATATATATATATATATATATATATATATATATATATATATATATATATATGTACAGATATTTTAAATTGTATTCTACAAAATAGAGAGCTCAATGTTCTTAAAAAAGCATAGCTATAATAAATTAGTAGAAAATCACTTATTAAATTTTTTTTCATTTTGATGAATCTTTATTGATGAAACACAGTGTAAAATATAAAAAAATTTGATTAGTAATTTTTTACTAATTTATATATACATATGAATTTTCAAAATACTTGTAGCTATTAAGTTATAATGTAAATGACAATAAGATTGTTAAACTATTGATAACTTTTTGTGTGTTATGTAATAGATAATATATAAAAATGAAAAGAATTGATCTTCTTCAAAAAATTAAAGGACTAGGTTTCAATAAAGTTAATTTGCTGGAATCTTTGTTTAAAGAAGTTTTAAATGTTTATAATCTTCATGAAGATGACTTCAATAAATCAGAGCTTACCAACTTAAAGAATAAATTGTCTGTTTTTAAAGCAAAAGTGGGAAATAAGTTAGAAAAGCATAATAGAAACTATGACAGATTGATTTTAAAAGAGGGTGTTTAGCTACAGGTAAAGAAACAATAATATTTCTTAATAAATTTTTTTTATGCACTTATTTTATTTAATTAAGTTTCTATTTACAGGAGGAGTTTTTTCCAGATCTTGTTAAAAGAATTAAATCTAAAGAAGGTCCAGGTAGAAAAAATAAAGTTTAGGAAAATCTTGGTGAAAGAAGCAAAAGAGCTAAAATTGCCCATTTGGCTGAAAACAATCATGAAGCATTGGCTTTAGCTTCTTTAAAAAGTGCTGCAACTGAATCCAACATTAATAAAAACAATTTTATCTTTATAGTAAAGAAGGCTTTGGACCCAGATAAAGCAAATGAAATTAGAAAAAACATGTCTATGCATGAACCTGTTAAAATGAAAGTTGAAGATGCTCTCAGCCTAAAAATTCAATGTGATCTGTCCGATGAACAATATCAGATAATCAGAAATAGCTCCCTATTACAAAATGCAAACATCTATCCGTCTCTTCATAAAATTTTAACTGAAAAAAAGAAATGCTATCCTGATAATATGATTTTTTCAGAAACATCTGCAGTTTGCTCCCTTCAATCTCTTTTTAATCACACTGTGTAGAGTCTTGAGTCTAAATAGTTGCAACAAAATATTTTCTGAATTATCGGTTAAAGATATCAATCAACATGGAATTATGCATTTCAAAGGTGGTTTTGATGGAGCGTCTAGCCAGAGTCTGTATAAACAAAAATATTTAGATACAACTCTAGATGAAGTTATTAAAAATGAAGAGAGTATTTTCCAAACATCTATTGTGCCTCTTAAACTGACTGTTAATGATACAGTAATCTGGTACAACAAAAAACCATCTAGTACACATTTCTGCAGACCAGTATGTTTGCAGTACAAGAAGGAAACAAATATGCTAATTAAAGAAGAAGAAGAACGATTACGGATTGAAATTCAGAAACTTGAACCATTTGTAGTAAGTTTAGAATCAAAACCGACTGAGTCATCTATGATGACAGCAATTATAAAGTATAATTTGGATTTGACTATGTTTGATGGTAAGGTTATTAATGCACTGACAAGTACTACCTCTTCTCAAAGCTGTAATGTATGTTCAGCAAAGCCAACAGAGATGAATGACATTAAATTGATTAGATCTAAACCTGTCAATAAAGAAGCTTTATTTTTTGGCCTTTCACCTCTTCACTGTTGGATAAGATGCTTTGAGTGCATTCTTCACCTTGGATATAAATTGAAAATTAGGTCATTTTATGCTAAAACATCTGAGCAGAAAGAATCAGTTAAAGAAAGAAAAGCATTTATTCAAAAGAAGTTTAGGGAAGAACTAAGTCTTATTGTTGACATGCCAAAACAAGGTTTTGGAAACACTAATGATGGTAATACTGCCAGAAGAGCCTTTGAGGAATCGATTACCTTCTCTGAGATAACTGGTGTAGATGTTGACATCATTTCTAGACTTGAAACAATTTTAAAAGCAGTTTGTTCAGGATATGATTTAGATCCAAGCTCTTTTCAAAGTTATTGCAATGATACAACAGATAAAATTCTTTCTGAATATAATTGGTATGTTATTCCTCCAAGCGTTCACAAACTTTTAGAACATGGTTTACAGATTGCCAATGCATTAGAACTTCCCATTGGAGTTTATTCAGAAGAATCACTAGAGGCTCTTAACAAAGAGATTAGAAATACAAGATTAAACCATTCATGCAAAATTTCAAGGATAAATGTTATGAAAAACCAATTTAACTATCTTATGATAAGGAGTGATCCAGTTATATCGAGCATTCAATTCACTAACCATAGATGTGAAAACGGGAAATCGCTCCCAATAGAAGTTCTTTCTCTTCTTAAACAGTCGTGATTTTTTTGAGAATTTTATTTTTTATAGATAAATTTGCATCAAAAATTTAAATTTAGAATAGTTATAATAGTAATTTTCAAAGTATATTCTAATTCTCAGAGTATAACTATTATATGCTCTTTGTTGATGTCTGAATTTTTTTTTAATTATCATTCTTTCAATCATTGTTTTTATCAAAATAGGAGGGTAATAATTGATGAAATAAATTTGAAATAATTAAAAATAAATTATTTTATGAACTAAAATTTGAAATAGTTATAATAGTAATGCTCAATGAATTTTATTGTATTCTTTTTGTTGAGGAATGAATTTTTTTTTTTATTTTTTTTAAAGTTCTTTCAATCATTGTTTTTAACAAAAGGGGAGGGGCCCGGTAATAATTATGACCAATTTGGATGGTAGTGTACCGAGTGATCACGCCTGATTACAAGTTGGAGAGAGTTAAAAAAAGATTTAAAAATAAATTATGTATTTATGCAAACTATTACTTGATTCGAAGTTAAATTAAAAAAAAAAATCTGCTTGCGCGTATCAAATTTCTTACGTACGTATTTTTTAGATACGCGCACGTTTTGCTGGTTGTTGCGCGTAAAAATAATTTAAAAATACGTAATTGATCTTTTGACTAAAAAAATAATTATTTCTTTAATACATATTAACATGCGATGGTTATAATTTTTGCCGTTTTTTCTTCTATTTGAGTCACTGTGGGCCGCCTGATCTGAGGCGATCTGATCAGGAAATTAAGAAAACTAGGCATATTTCCCTAAAACTTGGCCGATTAGGTTAAGTTTAGGCATAAAAAGTCTGGAAATTAAAAAAATTTAAACAATTTGCTTGAAATTTGGCCGATTGGGATATAGTTTACGCATAAAATGTCTGGAAAATAATACACTTAACATTTCATTTTTTTTCTAATTTAAGATGTCTAAGATTTTTGATAATGTGCGAATTGCATTAGAGAGAAGCGATAAAGTTACATTCGAAAAGATTAACAAGAAGTATTCCCTCCAAGTTGATTCTTTATATTTTTTGCATCCATTAATTAATCAAGTTCATCTTAAGCGAAATATTTGCGCTGAAGCCTACTTAAACAAAAATGCAAAATCGGATAAATTAGTACCTATTCTGTAAGTTACTATTTGTTTATACTGCTTTATTTACATTAAGTTATTTAATCAGAGGTTTTCATCAGATTAGCATCAGTATCAAATTATTCATATTTTGCTAGCAAATCACAAGTTAATCTTACAGATTAACTTGTAAAATAATGTTTCAGTGCGAACTATATATCAAATGCAAAAACTAGTTAGTGGTTTTAGCTATGGATTTATTTACAAAAATTGTAAAGTTAAACAACAAGGCTTTATACACCCATTGTTTTAGTCATCGATTAAATCTAGCAGTGTGTAATTCTTGCAAAGTTCAACTTCTCTGTAATGCAATGAACCATGTAAAAGAGGTTTTCTATTATTTTAATCTTTCTATCAAAAGAAGTTCTGTCTTGGAGACAATGATTTTAGAACACTATCCTGATAAAAAGGGAAAAAAACTTAAAGATATAGTTGAACTAGGTGGCTTGAAAGAATAGATGGTTTGGATACATTTCAGCAGTTGTATATTCCAATAGTTTATTCCCTTGAAGCTATAAGCAATGACATAAATAAGTTTGGGGCAGACTCCCAAAGAGCTACATCTTTATTGAAATTGGTCACTACCTTTGAATTTATTATTTCCTTGGTTGTGGCTTGAGCTGTTTTTGATGAAACGCATATAGTGACTAAGATTGGAGGGAGAGTTTCAAGATTTTTTCTGATTTTTATTCTGAAGATTTGTCAAATCCATTAGCTTTAGATGCAGAGTGCGGTCTTTAGGAGGTATACTGGACTACCACTAATTATCCCATTCCAAACGTCTGATACTATAAAGTCAATTTCATGTATAAAAACTTTTGCCAATATTTTTGTTTGTTTGCAGTTATTAACAACTTCACCTGTGACATCGTGTTCTTATGAATAATCTTTTTCAAATCTTCGCAGATTAAAAACCTGGTCAAGATCAACTATGTCTGGAGATTGTTTGGTTTAACATTGATGTATACACATAGAGATATAGTTCCAGATAATTAAGAAGTTATCAAAAAGTTAATGCAAAGAAATGGTTATGTTTCTATACAAATAAGTCAAAGTCTTTGTGACTAGGTTTATTTGTAAACATTTATACACATTTAATAGTTTAAAGACTGTTGACTTAAGCATATAAATCACTTAAAATCTCTGAATATGACTTCGTTTTGTCTACTATAATCTATAATCACAAGTTAAATCTTTTGTGAGAACTTAAAGTGATTCAGAGTTTGAATACATTTTAAATTGTTATTAATTATTTAGGATGTTTAAATATTCAAACATCTTTATAAACGTTGTATATTTGAATGAATGCAATACACTTTTAGTGTCAATCTAATTGACACTAAAAGTGTATTGCATTCATTTGTATGTAGGATAGAAACATATATTTTATTTTCTAAAAATACATTTGGACATAAATATAGTTTTTAACCTTAAAATCCAAAGTTAGTGAAAATAAAGATTAAAACATTTAAATATTTTAGTAAATAAAGAGTTATGGAAAACCTTTCTGGTTGAATCCAAAATTAGTGAAAATAAAGATTAAAACAATTAAATATTTTAGTAGATAAAGAGTAATGGAAAACCTTTCTGGTTGAAACAGTTCAGTACTCTATATTATTTATCCTAACTTTTACTTCATTAAATTAGCAGTTTACTTTCTGAGGGAAATTTTGTTTTAGAAAAAATTGTTATATTGTTAAAATTGTTATATTGTTACAATTGTTATATTGTTACAATTGTTATATTGTTATTATTAGTATTATTAGTATTATTGTTCAAGGAACTCTCCTGAACAATATTACTAAATAACTTGCACATTTTTATTTTTTAGGAAAAGCAGTTTGCTAATTGATTGTGTATTTTTCTGTCATACACCTTCAGTCGTTCTGTATAAAAAATCGTACACATGAATAGGAAGGAACCTTGACGTGGTTCATGTGCTTTAAACAAATACCTTCCAGACAGATACATTCTCAACCGTTGTACTGTGAGGGATAAATGGTCAGAAATTTGATTTCTTTAGATTTTTTTTTTTTGTCTGAATTTAGTTATTACTCAGTAAATCAAACTTTTTAAAATGTATTAATAAAATCATAGTTAATCTACTATTTATTTTCAACGGTTTGTATTCTTCGAATTGGCTAATAAAAAGTTAGCAAATCAATAAAAAGGGCTGGTGCTAGTAGCCGATACAGGATTGTGAAATATTTGGGTGATTAAGCCGATGCAGATTAATCTGAACATCACCAAGAATATTCAGATTAGTTTTGAATTTCCAAATTCCTTTTTTTATTTTTAGTTGACATTGAGTACATTGTATCTAGAATAGCTAGTATAGGTATAATTTTAACTAAATTTTGCATATGTTTCGTGTAAAAGATAATTACCATAATCTAGTTTATATTTATAAAAAAAAATCCAAAACAATAGTTTGGGAGGGAGAGATTTTTCTTAAGTTAATTTTTGCTTGAATTTCAGACTTATATTGTCTTAACCAGTTTAGCATTAAAACTTTTTTTTTTTTTTGAAATTGCGTGCTTATTTTTATATAAGGCTGCAAACACCAAGTCTTAATCACAAAAAAAAAATTTTCA